CGCTTCGATGTTACTAAAATATCGAGTAAAGTTAGCCAATTATATTTAAAAGATAAGTCACAGGATTTTCTTGATGAAATCATTAAAGAAATGTATAAACTATATAATGAAGAAATGTTAAAAGGCAAATGGGACAGTTCAATTCTTGACACCTTAGAACAATTTCTAGTAAAAAAAAATCAGAGTCCGGATTATATTATCAAATATTGCTTAGATAATCGATTCGATTCTATGGTTCAATTCATTCTTGCAATTTGTTATGACAATGGCAAATGGGTTGAAAAGGATGAACATAAAGCATTTATTTATTATCAAAAATCTGCAGAGATGGGTAATTCTAATGGAGTATATAATGTTGGACGTTGTTATCAAAAAGGAATTGGAATTTACAAGGATGAACATAAAGCATTTATTTATTTTCAAAAATCTGCAGAGATGGGGCACGCTGGTGCGATACATAATGTTGGATATTGTTATCAAAAAGGATTTGGAGTTGAAAAGGATAAAAATGAGGCATTCAATTATTATAAAAAATCCGTAGAGATGGAAAGCGCTATTGGAGCATATAATGTTGGATATTGTTATCGTAAGGGAATTGGAGTTGAAAGAGATGAACGAAAGGCCTTTGAATATTATTTAAAAAGTGCCGAATATGGACATTGTTGTGGAATGCATGGTGTTGGTTTATGTTATCAGATGGGGATAGGAGTAGAAAAGAATAAAGATTTGGCATTTGAATGGTATTTAAAATCTGCTGTTACTCAACATAAATGTAGTTATGATAATAACTATTTCAGTTGGATAGAATATGATAATTTTAGAAACATTCAAGAAGTAGGTAGAGGTGGATTTTCTGTAGTATATAAAACATCATATAAAAATCAATTTGGAATATATGAAGATGTTGCAATCAAGATAATAAATGATTCTCATAAAAATAATCAACTTTTTTTAAACGAGGTATTTTGCTTTTTTTTTTTACATGTAAATTTATATTGTTTATGAATTAATTGTATATAAATTGATTATTTTAAGTTAAAGGCGTATCACGCATTTGGGGAATACTATGGCATATCAATGGATAAGAATACCGGTGATTTTATTTTAGTGATGAGTTACGCAAAATTTGGATCATTGCGTGAAAATCTTAAAGATATATTTAAATTGGAGTGGAAAATTAAACTAAAATTATTATGCGATATCATTAATGATCTATCAAATATTCATTCTAAAAATTTTATACATCGAAATTTACATCCTGGTAATATTTTACTAAAACAACAATATGAAGCTTACATTGATTTAGGTTCATCAATGTCAGTTGATGAAAAACAGAATGGCCATATTTATGGAGTTTTGCCATATTTAGCACCTGAGATCTTGAAAGGAGAACAGTTCACTCAAGCTGCTGATATTTACAGTTTTGGAATTATTATGATAGAAATATTAACTGGACGAAGACCTTTCGATGGTTACAATTTTGATGCTGAATTAGCGGCAATGATTTGTCATGGGTTACGACCCGAATTTATTATAAGGACACCACAATGTTATGTCAAATTAGCCAAACAATGTATTAATTCAAAAATGAAAAACAGACCTACGGCTGTTGAGATTATTGATAAGCTTGAAAAATGGAAAAATATTATAGTTGCCCACAATAGTAATATTAAATCAGGTATGAAAAAAAGATCTGATGCTGCTGGGGTTTTTAATAAACTTAAAAAATGGAAAAAATCTATAGTCATCACTAGTGAAGAGATCAAACAGCAATTTTTAGAAGCTGATAAATCAATCAAAGAATTGCCAATTACCTCACAAAAACATGATAACATGATGTATACTTCTAAACTTATTGATATGAGAGAAATCGTTTCAGAGTCTGAAATTTTTAGGATTAATCAATAATTTGATCCAAGAAAAAAATCCATATCAATAAAATTGATACCAATTTATTATTTTAAGATTTTTTATAAATAACAAGATTAAAGGATATTAAATACTTTGATATAGATTGATGATTCCACTAATATTTTGACAATGTCTATCACGAAATGTTTGTCCATTTTCATATTTGTCATTTACAGAGCCACAAAAACTTTCTCACATTGAAATTTTGTCATATTAATACTGGTGAATATAGTAAGTAGATGATACTAAACATATAAAAATGCATTGTACAATATACAAATTTGTGGATTTTAATCAAGACTTTGAATTTTCCGTGTCTTTGCCATACCGGTTAGTCGTTAGAAAAGATTTAAGTTGTCTTTGCATCGTTCATATATTTTATTGACATAATTTTTGGTAATGCAATCCACAAACCTTTATAAATACAACACGAGTTCGGCAAAATAATTTGCAATAAATTTTTTGGGAGACTACAGTAGCACTAGTATATACAACGCAATTAATGGGGAAATTACTTTTTGCGGCTCATGATTAGATTCGAAGAGACGTAGATTTTAAAATTTGAGTTGCGTCAGTATGAAATTCGATTCTGTGATGCGTCAAACCAAGGCTATCATTCACGCAGTGCATAATAATTATAATAATACTTAAATCATGAAAATAATTTATTGTGCATTTCGTTCGAGTTAAACTAAAGAAATATTTATCCACTATAAATGTCAAAATTTGTCATTGAATAAAAAAGAAAAGCATTAATTAATCAAAAATTATAAAATTGAAGTTCTTTTTTTTTTTTATTCTTTAATATTACACCGCCTATTTCATTACTTTGCGTAATCGATTGAATACTTGAAATTAGATAATATTTTAACAGTAAATGAAGCAATGCTAAAACAGAATGTTAGCATGCTTGTAATATCAACAAATATCATTGTAAAATTGGTTGTTGAGGATTGAGGTGGAAGTAGTGATGCAGTAGAATCGTCCCAATGATTAATGTAACTCGCCGTAACTTTCCGTAACTATAGCAATATTACTTACAATATATAATTACGGGACGATTCTACTGAATCACTATGTGAAAGTAAACAAATTATATGCAGGATTCATTAAATTATTATTGCAATTAGAGTAGAAACTATTTGGGCTATTCAAAAAATAGTTGCGATATAAGCTGCTTCATCACAAGCCGAAATATTTCGATCATATTTATAATGCAGCATGAGCGACGCCTAAGGAAAACTAGAATTTGGCTTGACTTTTAAATCTAAACTTACCTTAAAAATCTGAATAATTTAGTCCGTATGTTATAAATTTAAGAGCCAGTATTTTTGTTTTTCTTAGTAACATTTATACAAATCATCAATTTAGTTTAACGCAAACCTTCAATTTTGACCTTACGCATCTTTAATTCAAATTTCAATCTGACACAATTCAGTCTTAAATCACTCATTCTTATTTCACGCACAGCCAATACAAAATATTCGTAAAATATTAAATCGAAATATTAGAGGTAAATAAATTGTAAAACATCCAAAAAACAAATATCAAACAACTAATATCTTATTAGTGTTGAAATTAATTAAAATGCAGTAGATTAACATCTGCAAATATACAAATTCAAATACTAATACAAAATACAATTTAAAACTTTTTCAAATATCATTATTTGAGAGTTCATTAATGATTTTGCACAACTCTTTGAAACTAAATATGATTGTCATAATTTAAGATCTAAAATTTCAAATTATATTCTTTAATTTTATATTAGTGTTTATAATTTTTCATCAAGAATTGTAAACTACAACTAAAAGAATAACATCATTTAAATCATTCTAACTTACATTTCTTTTAAAATTTTAATTAAGTAATTTATTTAATAATAAAATTTAATTATAATTGGAAATTCACCAGCATATATACATATATATATATTATTATCATAAGATGCCATCTCAAAAGTCAAAATTAGAATTAACCTGGGTTATTTTTTGCAAAATAGCATTCCAGTGAACTTTATATAAAATTATTTTTAAATTTATTAATTAAAGATCTTTTAAATTAGATATACTAATTGTGGTATTTCATTAGAAAATGTTGAACCACTATATTTAATCTTTTAGTATTTTCCAACAATTCAGTCCTTTTTTATTGCTGTATTGATAAAAAGTCATCTTGGTTTGATTAAAATTTATTTTATTTGTTTTTAAGATAACAATTTTAAAGCTTTACAAACTTTTTATACTAATATTCTTGCAAAATATCTAACTTGGTCTTTGACTCTTATAAATTTACTTTTATTAATGAAGATGTGTTAATAACACCTGAAATACAAATTAATAAATCTGAAAATTGGGATAAGGTTATTCAAAGGAGGAAAACACATACATTATACTTACCATCTGACTTCAAACAATGGACTAAAAAGATTTTTTTTAGCCTTGAAATTTACACTTGACAAATTTATTCTTTTAATTTGATAATTTCAAATGTCTATAGAAGAAATTATAACAAAGTTAAAACTTGACAAAAGCTCAAAGAACAAATTTATAAGATGACATTACAACAAGGTATGTAGATCCTAATGCATCTATTTTTTCAATTATTTTACTTGCTTATAAAAAATTTCTGTTCTACTTTTCATATATAATATTCACTTTTAAAAAAATCTTGTATTTTGATATTACTTAAATTCATTTTCTAAATTAAAATTATATCTATATTGTAAGATTTAGTAAAGTAAGTGTTTTTGTACATTTTGTCTATCATTAAGACCTTTAATATTCAGTGTTGCAATTGTAAATTTATTTTTGATCATAAAAGATAAGAATATAGTTTATGCTAATGCTTACTACTTCCACTAGAGGTAGAAAGACCTTTACCACCTATCTCTTTTCTATAAAGAGTATGTCTATTATATTGTAGTCCTGTTATCTAAGAAGATCGGGTATTTTTTTTTTATGAGTTACTACTATAAACCCTTTATCTAGTTAGTTACTTATTTCTTGATCTGCCTTTTGCTAAACTTTGTATTTCAACTTGATTAGTATCTTCTATATGATTATCATGTATTACTTTTGCATTTCAACTTAATTGGTTTCACCTTGCACTGTGTGAGCCTGTTTTTGAACTGCCTCTTTATTTACTATTTTCTTAACTACTTCTTGCTTTACAACCTGCATATTCTTTATCACTTCTTTATTGCTACTCAACTTTATCTTTTTTAGAATTTCCTCTATTTCATCTGATAATCTATAAGGGTTATTATATATACTTAGAGATGTATTTTCTATATTACTGTGTTCTTTTTTTAAACTAAGTTTAAATTCTTTATAACGTTTTCTTAATTCCACTGCCTCCTTAAACTGCATACAGTCAGCTTTTATATATCCCTCTTTATTGCAGTAAAAATATATTTTTGGTACTGCTATCCATTTTATTATGACCTTTTGATTCCAGATATAAGTATGATGAGGAAGCCTCTTTATTATTGAGGGATCCTTTGTGCTATCATAAACAACAACCCACTAGTTTGACATTATTGGAGTACTCTCATATATAAGAGGCTTGATAGATACAATAGTTCTGAAGTCTTCTACATCAGGAAATTTTTTGAGGGGATATATATCGATTATAATCGAATTAATCGATTAGTATTGATTAATTTTAATCAATTACAATCAATAAAGGGGTTATTAATTGATTAGAAACACTATCGATTATATTTGATTATAGATATATATCGATTAATACTGATATAAATCATTAATCAATTAATATCGATTATTAAAAAATTCATTAATTATAATCAAACTTTGATAACGATTTTCTTGATAAATAGTAATTAGAATTAGCTAAAATTTTTATTAAAGATAGTATCGATATTCTTCTATAATATATTTAAATTTTATCTGAATTGGTCAAGTAGTTCTTGAGTAATCACTTCTATATGATAGTTAATTTTTTAAAAAAAATAACTATCGTATAGACACGATTACTCAGGAACTACTTGATCAATTTGGATAAAATTAGTATATTTTATAAAGGTATATCAATACTATCTTTAGTAAAAATTTTAGCTAATTCTAATTACTAGTTATCGAGAAAATCATTGTCAAAGTTTGATTATAATTTACGAATTTTTGATATATATCGTTAATAATTGTAATCGTTTATACTCAATAGAGGTGCTATTAATCGATGATAATTTTATGATTTTAATTGATTACAATCTAATTTTAAAATTTCCTGATGTATTGCTGTCTTGATATATCTAGAGATAAATTCTTTTTCATCTATAGGAACATTACATAATTTAACTGTGAAAATAGTTTTTTGAAGATTGGTTGGAATGTATCTAAAAAGTGTCTGCTTAAAGATCATAATTCCTTCTACTGCATATTTTTATAAACTTTCTTTGTCTTTCAAAATTATTTCTAGATCAGTTCTTCATCCTTTAGTAAAGTGAGAAATTGTAGCAATGAATCTATCATCTAATCATTTATATAAAGTGAGTATAATGTCATTTAATAGAATATTTATCAAGTTTTTAATATCTATAATTAATGCATTATTATTCTTTGTTTTGATCTTCCTCTTTTAAAGACTGCAATAAATGTGGCTTTGCCTATCTGCATCTTTGCAAAGAAACTAAACCATTGCTTCACTGAGATGTTCTGTTTGTTACTTTCCTCTGCTATATTATAGATCTTCTCATCCTCTATACGTAATGTCTTTAAATCTGTTTCAACTATTTCTTCAGAATCACCTAATCTAACATTGCTCATCACTATGTTTAGATTTATTTCAGAACCTTCTATTTGATCTATTATAAAATCATCTGATCTTTTATTACAGAACAAGAAAGCATTTTTAGTTGTATTGCTCTGATAAAGATTTTCATCCTTTTTATATACAGCTTCTGTGTCTTCTGCTCAACTTGTTTTGATGCTTGTTGCATTAGTTAGAATTCTCTGAGTTTGATTTTCCTGTGTGCTGTGTTTTTCTGCTCAAAAATAGGCCTTGATCTTTGTTTTCTTTATTTTGAATTTTAGCTCCAGTATCTTGTGTTTTACTTTTTTTTTCTCATTTTTTGCTTTCTCTGGGTCCATCATCTTTGGTTTTTCTGGTACAAGGACTTTTGCCCTATTAGTAATGTGGTATTATGTCTGATTATTTTTCTTTTAACCATCAATTTCTTATTTTTGTCACATGGCACTAATCAAATACAGAGTGACTGTCAATCCTCATTTTGATGTATTTAAAGTATTGAAATGATTTTAAAATTTAAACATGTAATTATAAATATAGTGAATCATTGTATACATTTTAGGATAAAATATAAGTTTGTATTTATAGAGCAAGTATTAATGCAATTAGTAACTTATTATATAATGGTAAAATTATTAAAATATTTTTAAAAAAGAAAAGAATTTGAATTATAATTTGTACAATATTTAGAGTTTTATAATTTAAAAATTGGTAGCAGTAAATTATTACAATGCCTGCTATATCTAATTTAAAAGGCAGCCTTATTGTTATTCACAGTTTTTTTTTCATGCTCCCACAAAATAGATTGAAAACCTTCGAGTTATTAAGCATCGCTAAAAATTTATAATTTTGCTATAATAACTCAAATAAAATTAATTTTAGTAGTCTAACTCAAAAGTTTGAGAAAAAATAGAATCAGAATAAAATTAGTCATACTTAAATATTCGCTAAATATTTATAATTGCTAAAAATAATAATAGTTTAAAGAGGAAAAATTAGGGTCAACAATGCAATCAAGTAAATTTTCTAAAGAAAAAAGAAAATATTGTGAAATTTTCTTAATATTTTTTGCAAATAATGCACAGTTATTTGAGCACACTAATAATGATTTTATTAGGTGATTAATGCAACAGACTTGGTGTAATTTTTGCAAGAAATTATGGAGGTATTGAAGCAGAAAGAAATGTTTAAGCTGTAAAGGCTTTCTAGGAGAAATGGAAGAAATATGGTTATTAAAATTCTAAAAGTGATAACTTAGTTATAAACGTATTTATTCAGAAACATCAGTGATAAATTTACAATTTGTTGAAAGGTGTTACAATGCGTAAGTGATAATCGCACCAAAAGAAATAAATAAATGTTACGCAATGCAATATATAAATAACCAATAAATTTTATGTAACATACTCTCTTATTGCATCAAAATGTCAATTGCCAAACGACCAGAAAAAATCGACAATCCCCTAAATATTACTAAATAATCAGTGAAGTTAACCAATTATATTTGGAAGATAAGTCTCAGGAATTTCTTGATGAAATCATTAAAGAAATGTTTAGACTGTATAATGAAAAAAGATTACAAAACATATAGAACAGTTCAATTCTTGACACGTTAGAACAATTTCTAGTAAAAAAAAAGCAAAATCCGGACAATATTATCAAATATTGCTTAAATAATCAAATCAATCCTATGGTTCAATTCATTCTTGCGTTTTGTTATGAGCATGGTAAATGGGTTGAAAAAGATAAACATAAAGCATTCATTTATTATCAAAAATCTGCTGAGATGGGTAATTCTAATGGAGTATATAAAGTTGGATTTTGTTATAATCACGAAATTGGAGTTGAAAAGGATAAACATAAGGCATTCATTTATTATCAAAAATCTGCAGAGATGGGGAATACTAGTGCAATATGTCATGTTGGATATTGTTATATTAAAGGAATTGGAGTTGAAAAGGATGAACATAAGGCATTCATTTATTTTCAAAAATCTGCAGAGATGGGTAACCTGCTGCGATAAAGAATGTTGGAATTTGTTATGAATATGGAACTGGAGTTTACAAGGATGAAAAAAGGGGCTTTGAATATTATTTAAGGGTAGGGTGTACAAATTTCCAATTTCATATAAAATAGATTGTAGGTCAACTTTGTGTAACAAATTTTATATAATATCATATGATTTACGCATTTACTAATTTCCCCCTAAAGTTTCTATTGGCTACCTGTAGATCACATTTCTGATTGGACAAAATTGACGATCTCTATAACGTGATGCCATTAATCATAGTAAATAACACTTTAATACTATA